TTAAATAAATATATAAATATGACATTATTTATATCCCTAGAATCTTGTAGTAAATAAAAGCATCATGTTCAAAGATTGGAAATTTTTTTTCTTTTTTCTGTCATAGGGCAGGTGTACTCACTGGAGAAAGACAGAGACAAATAGTGAGAGGGAAAGTAAGAAATCAGCCCCTCAGGGGGAAGGCCATGCACACTCCCTTCTTTTCCAGTCTCCTCTTGGGATTTGGAGCATGCACACACATGCATATAGTATGTTTTTTAAGCCACCAGATCCAAAACTCAAACCTCACAGTTGGCCATGTGGAATCCAGCACCTTAACCAACATGCCACCTGCTGGCCCCAGTCTTCACTGTTTTTAAAAACAGAAAAGCACTAGTGTTGTACCTCACCATTTTCCCTAGTCAAGTTATTCTTTACCTATTTCAGGAAGGAGTCCATCGCAGCAATCCTTAGTTTTTACAGACTCACACCTGTGGGTAACACAAGCTTCACTTTGCTAAAGTCTAATGGCATGATGTGCGTGCCAGGTCTCTGCACTGAGGGAAAAGGAAAATCTAGAGAAATGGAAATATCAGAGTAGCGGCATCCACAGGGCATTGAATCCTATACCATAAGGTAGCTGAGTTCCAGTAAATGGATGAATAGTTTTTTTCCATCTTTCATCTTACTCCCCACTAAGACCCCCAGTCTTTTCAAAATAATGAAAATACACCAGGTCACAGCTGGAAAATATGGCAAACCTTGGATTTTTACCCTCTGATTATTTCCACCCCAGGAAAGAGCGACCATGAAAGTGCTGTGTCTAGCGGCTGAAATTGAGGCCCTGTAGGCTTTAAAATATTCCAAGGAAAATAAAGAGCTGATGGCGCAAGTCTAGAGATTAAACTCTCATTATCACTTTTCTCTGAGAGTTCAGAAAGAAATGTGGAACACAGTCACTGAAGCAGAGCCAAAAGTCACTCTCATTTTGGTACAAGCAACTCCTGCCGCCTTTTTTTTCTGTGCAATTTATCATGAAAGCATAGCTTCTATTCCAGAGCATAGGGGAAGCTGGGAGTCAATTTTATCCACTGCTTTTGAAGAGTATCCTGGTGACCATGGGACTTAAAACAAAGGGGGAAATAATCACATCCTGGGAAAACTAATATTCAGCAGCATAAAGGAAATAAGTCTCTCCATTATGGTCTAGAATTAATGAAGACTCCAGGCAGCCTGTAAGGCTGTCCTCTGATAAAAGGTATATTAAGTACCTCTCTAATAACAGAAATAAGGTGGGCGCCACTTCTCTAGCATAGTGGCCACTAGAAGTGGTCTTTCTTGATTGCTTCATCCTTTTTACTAAATTATTTCCATTCATAATGCAGTTCCATGGAGGGTAGGGCTGAAGTGAGAAATCAGATTTCTTTGGGGAAATATGTCGAGTTGGATATTTGTGTCACATTTGAAGTGGAATGAAATCCAAATGGATTAACAAGTGAAATGTAAGAAATAAATGAGGTCCAGAGAAAACAGAGGTTTTAGCAGATATTGCTAGAGAATGATTTCGTATGCATAAAAACAGAAAGCAGAAAGTAAAATTTTAATGAAATTATTACATACAAATTTAAATTTCCATATACCATAACACACTGTAAATAAAATTAATAGGTAAGTTTCGAACAGAAAACATTTACAGCATTTAACATAGACAAAAAGATAAGTATCCAGGATATATAATTAATATTTAAAAATCAATAAAGAAAATCTCCAGTAGACAAAGAATATAAATGCTAAACCCCCCAAAAAATTATCAATAAGTATATAAACAAAAATTCACCTTATAAATAATTGAGAAAGTACTGATATCATGAATAATATTTTCGACAAGTGGCGAAACTGTTTTTAAGCAACAAACTTCACACTGATGAAGCTTTTGTGAAACTGGTAGTAAAAAATGTGTAGTACCTTTTTAAAATAAATTGGATAATTTACTACTAACAGAAGATTAGTTATGATATTGGCAAAACAATGGGTCCTACCAAGAAACCCCAGACACACTTTCTGCCTTTGTAAACTCAATCAAGCCAGCCAAAAATTCCAGCATCACTACAGCACCACTACAAGAACATATTTTAGAGATTTTTGTTGGTTGGTTGGGAGGTTGGTTTTAGAGGCTTTTTTTGGTTTGTTTGTTTCTTTGTTTGTTTTGCTATGGGAGTGTGCTCTCACAGGAGACGAGAGAGAGAGAGACAGAGAAAGAGAGAGAGAAAAAGTGAGAAATCACCCCCTGGGGTGATGGCCACGCTGTAATCCCTTCTCCTCCATTGTCAAGATCTTGGGCATCCATGCATATGCGCCCGCGCGTGAGTTTAAGCCACCGAGTCCAGGCCTTGAACCGTGGTCGACCACATGGGAGTTCAGCAACATAGCCATTACGCTAACCGCTGGTCCCTGCCTAGTGTGAGTTTCAAGCCACTGGGTCCAGGACTTGAACTACAGTAGGCCATGTGAGGGTCCAGTGCCTTGACCACTATGCTACCTGCTAGCCCCCATATTTTTAGGGTTTTTTTTTTTTTAAGTTACTTCTTCCTCCACCTTCATGTGGCACTACTGCTTGAGGCTCGTGTAATAAGGGTTAGATCCCCATACTCTCAGTCCTGTGGAAAGTATGCAACGATGGCCAGTCTGAAGCACACCATCTTGTATGTCTGCTGTTACAGAAAATCTAGAGCCACTAAGCTTGATATCCCAGCCATAAAAGTTCACAACAGTGTATATTACATCTGCATATTCTTTGACTCAGTAATTCCACATTTAGCAATGTTACCTAATGAAATAAAGATGCAAGGAAATATATCCAGGACATTTATGGAAGCGCTTTTTATCAATGAGAAAACCTAGAAACAATTTTAGTGTTTTATACCTGAAAAATAGCTAAATATGGAAAATTCAAATGACAAAGCATTGGGACCAGCAGATGGCATAATGGTTATATCACTGGACTCCCATGTAGTCAACAGCATGGACCTGGTGATTTAAAACTCACATCGGGCATGTGTGCTTATTTGCCCAACATCCAGAGAAGAGAATGGTTGCTGATGTGGAGTTTAAAGCCACTGGGTCCAGGACTTGAACTACAGTAGGCCATGTGAGGGTCCAGTGCCTTGACCACTATGCTACCTGCTAGCCCCCATATTTTTAGGGTTTTTTTTTTTTTAAGTTACTTCTTCCTCCACCTTCATGTGGCACTACTGCTTGAGGCTCATGTAATAAGGGTTAGATCCCCATACACTCAGTCCTGTGGAAAGTATGCAACAATGGCCAGTCTGAAGCACACCATCTTGTATGTCTGCTGTTACAGAAAATCTAGAGCCACTAAGCTTGATATCCCAGCCATAAAAGTTCACAACAGTGCATATTACATCTGCATATTCTTTGACTCAGTAATTCCACATTTAGCAATGTTACCTAATGAAATAAAGATGCAAGGAAATATATCCAGGACATTTATGGAAGCGCTTTTTATCAATGAGAAAACCTAGAAACAATTTTAGTGTTTTATACCTGAAAAATAGCTAAATATGGAAAATTCAAATGACAAAGCATTGGGACCAGCAGATGGCATAATGGTTATATCACTGGACTCCCATGTAGTCAACAGCAGTTTGAGTCCTGGACCTGGTGATTTAAAACTCACATCGGGCATGTGTGCTTATTTGCCCAACATCCAGAGAAGAGAATGGAGAAGAGATTGCAGCATGACCATCCCCCCACCGGTGTTTGGGTGGGAGGGGGCAATTTCTCGCTTTCTGTCTCCCTGTCTCTCTGGTGAGTGCACATGCCCTATAGCAAAAAATCTCTCTTAAAAAAATTACAAAACACTAAATAGTTAAAAATAATATTTTTAAGATATTTTTAATGACATGTGAATGTATCCAAGATATTTTAAGTGAAAAAGGCTGAATAAGCAAGCTCAGTGGTACAGTGATAGAATATCATTCCATGCTGCTGGAACCTTGGTGGATCTGTACGTGCCAGACATGCGTGAGTTCTAGGAGGGCTGGGGGGAGATCACTGTGGAGGGTGCCTGTCTCTCTCTCTGTGTCATGAAAAAAAGAAACAAATAAAAACACCGAAATCACTTTCTATAAGTTTGATCTAAATTAAAAAAAAAAAAAAAAAAAAACAGGGCCAGAACACCACCACAATATTACAATATTACATTGGTTATCTCTGATACAAGAGATTAATGTTGTTGTTTCTTTCTCATTATAAACTCATAACCTAAAAATATATTTTATAACTAGAAAAATAGAACATGACTGTTAAAACGACGTAGGAGCATATGAAGCAGCAAGTTCCTCACACATTCCACTCTTTTTCACCACTCATTCAACCCAGAATGTATTGGTACTTGTTATTTCAGATATTTTCCTAGTTAGAGTCACATTTATTGGACTACAGAAAATGAAATTGCATTAAAGTCATATTCAGAACATATTTAGTAGACTAAGACTTGATTAAATGATAATTCAGAAATATATCATGGATAGTTTCCATGAAAGTACATATAGATATTTGTGATTATTTTTGATAGCAAGTTACATTTCTTTATTTGATTACTTGTTATTTCTTTAGCGTTTTGTAATTTTATTTTTCCAAAATGTTTAATAATTCTATAATGAGTATATATTACTTTTATGATTAGAAAAAATTATAAACTTTTTTTTAAAATTTGCTATAGGGCATGTGCACTCTCCAGAGAGAGACAGAGAGAAAGTGAAAAAGCACCAGCCAGGGAGGATGACCATGCCACAATCCCTTCTCATGCATTCTCCTCTCAGGATTTTGGGCATGCACGCACACAAGCCCAGTGTAATTTTTAAGTTACCAGGCCTGTGACTAGAACCATGGAGTCAGCCATGTGGAATGCAGCACCTTAACCACCACACCACCTGATGGTCCCTAATTATACAGTTTTAAATGCAGAGCAGGACAAATAGAAGCTGCTTGTGGGCCAGACACAGATCACAGGCTGCCAGTTTACAGTCTCTGCAGAGGGTATCCAGATCGCCGTGTCCTTCTTCTGGGAGACGTTCTTGTTTAATCTCTCCCTGCCAAGAATGAGTAAAGTTCTTCAATTTGTAAATCTCTGCCTTTTCTTTACTGCTTCTAGCCTCTTCTCTTTCTGGGAGAATTGTCTTTAAGACCTGGTTTATTGCTATTTTTTTGTCTTCCCTTGGTTTTCTTGACTCAAACTCAATTTCCATCCCAAGCACAGGACAATCTCCGTTTCTACCCCAGAATATCTGTCTTCTGGCATTTTTGCCAAATGATAGCCATTTTTTCTTTTTGTGAGCCAAAGCACTGTAAATTGTTTTATCTAATACTCTTTGAAACTCATTGATCTCCATTGGGCTTCTTTGATTTTACTTGAACTTGGGAATCCTTTGTGTTAATTTCCTTCCACATTTTAAGCTTAGACTTTCTCTTTGTCCATTTTTTTCCTTGGAAAAAGGTTTTAGGTTTCATGTTTCTCTAGGAAGCTATACCTTTGACTATGTAACCTCCCGGAAGCTCACTAATTCCCTCCTCCCAGGAGCTTGCAGCTCCATGTTGGGGATTCTTGACAGTAGCCAAGCTGAGTCCCACAGAGTGTCATTCAATATAGGCCTCCTGATCACCACTCGACCGATCTGTTGTGACTCTTGGGACAAAATATGGCATTGATCTATCCTAATCCTAAAATGTCACTTACATTCTAGTCTCTTTTGTGAACACACTGGGAATTGCTGTTAATTTTGATTCTGTAGTCTTTAGGAAGAAAGAAGCCCTGCTGTGCAAAATGGACTAGACTGAAACTTATACAGAATGAAGGTCTTTCCTATGATCTCATCCAGTTCATCCTTTCAAAGCTGTTTCCCTACTCCCAAAGCCATATAACTGACACAACCTAACATGTGTAAAACACACCACTGACGCCCACATTCAGATTTCTGCTACTCAGCTGAAAAGGCCTTCACACATAAACTTTTTAATGATTTCATGTCATGATGGGAGGGATACAAACAAACCCAAATTCAAAATTATATTTTTCCAATTGGTGAATGATGTATCATTTCAAATGATTGGGCTTGAAACTAAAGAGGATAGTAAGTAAATTAGTTATGTTTTCTGAACTATAAAGAATTAGAGGGCTAGCTAATGGCATGACAGTAACACAAAAGCCTATGATGTTGTACTCTCATGGGAAGGTCCCAGGTTCACACCCTGAGGCCTCCTTCTACATATTCAGCAGCATGTGTGCCCAGGATCCAGGCTAGCTCAGGCTGGGTGTAGATTGTCACATGAGAATCCTATTTGGGTGGGTGTTTCTCTCCCTCTCAGGAAAAGAAATAAGTAAACTTTTTTTTAAAAAAAAAGAACTAGAGATGAGTTACATTTATATTTCAATGCATTTTATAAGCATACAATAATAATAGCAATCAAAATACCATCAAATATACTTAAAGCTAGCCTACAGGAAACACAACTAACCAAAACCAAGCTTCCTGGAACACTTAGATGATAGGCAAGATGAAATAAAATGTACTATATGTGCATACCAATGAAATGATACTCTCTATAGTGTTAGAGCAAAGCAGAAGATACCAGAGTAAGATCAACAGTACTGGTGGAAGATGAAGAGATGAAGCAGTTGAAAAGCAACCAGAGAGAGGATGTAGAGTTCAGACTCAGAGGAACCTAGTGACCTTCTGAAGACTATCCTACCAATATTTGAGCCTGAAATGAAGTTTGAGTTTGGTAAACAGAAGTGTGTAAAATTGAAAATCCAAATGCTAACTCAGTGGCTCTGTAATGTATTTTTTAAAGCGTTTCCATGATCATATAAAAAGAAAATTGAAATTCACATCTTACTATCCTACATTAGTCTATTAGGCTAATACTAAAGTTTTCAAGAGCCTAAAAATGATAAGCCACAGAAATGTTTAATTTGCCTAGTTTCATTCATGATCATGCTGTTTAAACTATAGTGGCCAGCTATAATTACCTAATAAAACTATGATCAGTCCTAAATTACTAATAGTTCAGTGATTCAAATACTCTCCTCCCTGGACAAGTTGGACCTTTTACCGGAGAGCTCATCAAAACCCACCTGAAAAGGTTGTCGTGTCTTATTCTGAGACCCAGTACAGCTATTCCAATTTCCCCGGCACCACAGAAATAATCTCGAGTCCTGATTATCTGTGTTTCTCTTAGTGATTTTTGAATTCTTCCATTATTCTATCTGTATTTCCCAATGAGAGAGTAACAACATTTTAAATTTTTTTTTAAAAAAATCCATATATGAGAATAAATCAAAATAGTCAAGTATCAAATGAATGCTTCTCTTGAATCAACATGAAGCTCCCTCTCATTTAAGAGTGGCTCTGTTCCCAAAATCATGTTCATTCTAGCTTGGGGTTTATAGATTTCGTGTTTGGTATTCAAGGTTAACTTCTTAGTTGATTAGATGAAAGCTACTATTAGCAGCATTAACTGCCACTGTGAAAATGAGATGCTACACAGCATTTAGTTTTAAAAGTCAAGAACCTCTGAGTTAACTAGGTGATCTAATCTAGCTTCAAATTAACCACATTAAAATAAATTAAATGCTCTTTTCTCTTCATGTTGTAAAACATAAAAATGTCATACTCTGTAATTTGAGAATGACTGTTCTCATTTGATTCAAGAGATCGTGTGGTGTCTTTAATTCCTTTATCAATATTATCCCAGGCCAACAGATGGAAGATCAAGCCATTAAGGAGAAATGAACATGTGCTGTGATTATTGGGCTTTTTTTTTTTCCCCTCTAAAGTTTGCTTACTGAAAGCTGTTTTGCCATCTCCACCAGAGAGAGAAATGTTTAGAGCCAAGAAATGACAACGAAGAAATTAAAGGACTTAGAAAGATCCATGATATATTTATAGAGGCAGGTACAGAGGACAAATTCACCTCTCTTTTCTCAGCTTATTCCTCTACTGTAAGATTTTTATTCTAACAGACAAGTATCCAATAATCCTTTATTTTTTTTCTGATGTGGGGAAATTGTGACCTAGTTTTTTTGAGAGAGTCCGTCAACAAGCATTTATTAAACATATTATACGCTAAGCACATAGACCCTGCAGACATAGTGATGACAACAGAGAGTGGTGCTGGCCACTCTCTGTTGCATACTGTAGGAGAGCAGGTATTGAGGAAATGACTTCATTTCTAAAAGGAAAATGAGTTGGATTTCAGATCACAGCTCTAGAGATCAGACATGTTACCTGCAGCAGCTGCCAGGCCATGCAGAGTCTCAGCATCGCAGGACATGTGTGCACCTCCATGTGCAGTAGCCCATACCTGTAATAGTGGTAGATTTCCATGGCCCACACCCAGGCAAAATAGTGGAGAAGCAGCCCTATGTCTTCAGCCTAGTAGGTGCTGCTGGAGTTCCTGGTGTATGTGATCCAGTAGCCACTCAGATTTGGAGCGCTGACAAATGAATTCATCCATGAATTGTTGGGAATAGCCTATGCAATCGTTGATGGGATTCCTAACATACCACAGATGGCCAGGGTGATGTATTAAAATAAGAAGCAAGAAAATAAGAGTGAAAAAGAAATGGAGCATTAAGGTCATAATTTTTAAAAATCACATAACTACGTTTCCTTAATATATATCTTTGACAACAGGGTGGTGGGTGATAAATGGGAGAAGAATGTTTCTGTTTCTTTCTTCAGCAGGTCAGTTTCATGTAGCCTCTGTAGAAGAAAATTTCCCACAAGTCTGTGCTGGCACGACCAGCCTTTGCTTTTACAGCCTGCTTTTACCCATTACTTACTTATGTGTTCTTCCACCTTCACTTGGATGGCTATTACATTCTTTAGGCACAATTAATGCAACCAAGGCCAGATGCTATACAGCATGCATTAATGAGATGTCTTTGGCCTCTATCTCTGGAAGCTCAACTAGGCTGAAGCACTGGGCAGCCGTTTAGTTTGCAGGAAACATGCTTTGTCTTGTTTCTGATGGTCATAGGACTATGGCAAGCTTAAACTGCAGAAGCTTCGTTTATTGTACTCAGGTTCTGCCCTTATGTTTTGAAGGTTCTGACATAACTGCTGTAGTAGAAGAAGCATTTCCATCAAGAGTCTCGTTATTAACACTCCCAGTCATCATCTAATGAGTATTTCTTATCCCAGTCATCTAAAAGTTAGTCATTTGGAATTTCGATTTATTTATTTAATTTCAAGGTCTTTGGTAAAGTCACAGTGTTAGGGCAACTGAAATCATTCTAAAGGAGCTATGCTGAAATAGTTGTGGAGAAATGTATTCAAACTCATGTGATATAAAAAAATATAATAAGAATGGACATTTTGTGTACTTCGTAAAATTTTGAGTTTGTAAAATTACCCTCATTTCTTTGGCATCAAATGATTACATTAATAGTAAAATAAGATACTTCCCCATAAATTTTTTTTTTAATGTTACATACTGAATTATCTTAGATCCCAGTAGGAAGCAGAAGTTACATTCAACGGAATAAACAGGAGGTTTTAGTGAAGGAACTATTTATAAAGATGTGGACAGGATCTAGATTGCAAAAAGAATAATGCATTACTCCCAGGTAGTAGCAAGGAGTTGTGCACTGCTCCAGGGTAATCACAAGGAATGGTGTTATAGCCCAGGTCTATTAACAGCAAAGTACCAACTCTTACCCCTGGTTTCTCCTCCCACTCCCTGCCCCCTTCACTCACCACTCCCTCTCACACATGCATGCACACTCTTAAAGGAATGATAGAGCCAAGATCAGGACAACCTGGAAGAACTGTATGGGGAGACCTGATCACCAATGCTCAGTGGAAAAGTGCAACCAGCTCTCAGAACCTCAGCACAGAGGGAGCCAGGGGACAAGGAAGGAGAAAACAAACACTGCAACCTCACTCTTCTCCGCCCTGCGTCCTGCTGGGGATCACAGGGCCAAACTAGGTACAAAATTTAAAGAGGTTCTCCCAGGTCCTTGGAGTCCTCATTCCCTTCACCCCAATTCAGGTGAACCCAACCAAAACCAGAGGGCAAGGTAGCCTGTTGATGTGAACCGTGCCAGGCCGAGCAAGTCTCAAGTGAGGGGGGGAGGGGCAAATCCATAGGCGACCATGCAGCACATACAGCACACCTGTCTTTATTTTCTAAATAAAATTGTGTCTGTTCTAAGTCTCCACCTAGAGACTGGGCTGGAGTGAAACTCAATGTCAGTGAATGCCTGGCTCCCATTCACTTCTTCCAAGGAACAAAAGAATCCTAGAAATTCATGGCAGAAATATTGGGAGAGGGGTCAGATCTTGGTGGTTGTTCCCATCCATAACTTGGATCCTTATACTATTCGGTATTTACCAACTTTAGGCACTTACACACCTGAGCGTTAGTGGTACTATTACTTTTTAGACATGTTCTTCATATCAGTATACTTCGTAAAGTATACTGATTAGTTATATTATTATTAGTTACTAATATACTAATTAATACTAATTACAACTAATATAATAGTTATATTGGTATATGCAAAATATGTATTTGTCTTATAGCCATTAGAATAAATAAGTAAATGTCTGCTAAAGTCATCCTACAATTGTGACGGCTGTTGGAACATTCCCTATTCAGTATTTCAGTTCATCCTGTCAACACAGCGACGATGAACAGTCCCAGGGATGCATCTCATAGGAATGATTCCCTGCCCCCCTAGACCCTGCTTTGATAGCTTCTCCTTCCTCCTGGTCTCTGCTACCTTGACCATGTCCTTAGTTTCAGCATCCCTCTAACTCTGCTTCTAATGCTGCCTATCCAAGAACTGGCTTCCTCCCTCTTCTCTATTGAGCAGCACACAGTTAATTCTCCTGAACAGACTCAAACCTTAAACACTTCTAACTCTTGCAGTTCCAGAGAACTCAGAAATTTAGAAACATAGCACTTGGCTTCTCTTTTATGGATTAAGAAAGGAGAAAGGAGTCACGAACATCATTTATAATATGTGTTGTTCCTAACAGTATACCCTGTCACTAAATAATAACAGCTGTTATGATGAAACACTGGTGAAGAAAATTGCTTGAGGGAGGGAGGATGTAACCTGCACACACAGGGAGGAATTGGCCGCGGGCAGCCTACAGGAAGGTGTGCAGAAGTCAGAGTGCCTGAGCTTGGCAGGCATCCTTGCTAATTTTGCAGGAGACCTTCCAAGTTTTCTTGGTACCTGCCTTATCGCTTCTGCTAATGATGATAAACTGTTGCCTCCGGATGCACAGCCACCCTTTTACACTGCATAAGTGTTTATTGCTATCACCCTCAAACAACAGATAGCAATTAAGGGAAGATGACTATGTGGTATAAAGTAAAAGCTCACAGGTGTTGTTTTGATCCTGAGTGACATCCAAATCTAATGGATGGGGCTTCTAAGGGCAGATCTTCTGGAAACTCTGCATGGCAGCAAAGCTATTGATGGTATTTTCAAAGATGAAGGGGAAAAGATTGCCACTTTGGTCATGCACTGCACTGGCTACGTCACCATGCTCCCACCTTGGGTCTGCACAAAAGAGCTGAACTCCTATATCTAGAGCCCAGTGAGAGCTGGAGACCTAGAGGAGAGATGCTTGCAATCACAGGACAGGGCCTCTGCTAAAGAAGTGACACTGACACATGGAGACAGTAGGAAAGAAATTCCTCAACTTCTTTCTCCTTCTGCATGCTCACTTCCTTCTTTTTGCCTCCCTTTGGCTAGTCATAATAAGAAGCTAGCCAGAAATGGGAGTGAGGACATGTAGTCCTCAAGGATCGGCTTTGCCAGGCACAGAGCAGAGAGGAGAGCAAGTTCAAGGTGAAAGGCAGAGAGATTATTTTAGTTATTTTAGTCTCTATTTCAGATTCTGGAGATCTACTTAGCTCATCCAAACCTGACCAGGATGGGAAGTATGGCTAGAAAGAAACAGAAAATGCTCACTCTTCCTAAGCAGAGTCTACAGAAGTTGGAAAGTGTTGTTCATAATTTTTGTTTTGGTTTTTAGCAATTTTCAAGGTAACATACTGGCATGGTTATAGGACAATGATATAAAGACATTATAGGAAAAAATGTAAAATTGACCATGAGGTTCATAAAAAAAGTATTAAAGGCACATTTTATTACAATTTTATTCCCTTAACCACTAAAGGTGTAGGTATTAGATATTGGGTTGGTAGAGCTATTCTGTAATAGGATAGCAAAACAGCATTTCTAGAAAACCGTCCCTCCATAAGCACTCCTTTTCGAATATCCAGGCTACCAGACACAGTGCGCCTTCCAGATTCCTCACCAGGAATGAAGGTCTTAGTCTCCCTTTTGCTGGGAATGCAGTTGGCAAACCCCTCTCACCCAGAGGCTCCCCCCAGGGTTTGCCTTAAATTAAAGAGACCTGCTTACCCAGGGTAGTGGCCTTCTCCCAAGCCTTGACATCCAGGGACTAATTAACACAGGCCTGTAAAGGAGCAGCCCTCTCACCCCAACCAGGGATAGTTCTGAAAGGTCATGTTGTCTTCAGGACTCCCCATATGGACAGCTGAAGATCCCACTAAGACCACGTCCCAGTCCCACTTCTGCAGACTCCTGCTGCATTCTCTTCCTGTCTACAGAATGACCCCAGGAGCACTTCCTAAGGAGAGGAGCCCCTCCTGCTGGTTTTCCCTCAGAGTCTGCTCTCCTAGGACCCAACCTGCATCACGAGATCGCCTGACAAATAAACACGTTTATTTCTCTTATTGTTCAACATGCTTCTTAGTCCAAAACAACAAAAGGATTATTCCTGCCAGCATTTCATTAAACTCTCTGCACATTAGTTTTCCTCTTCCAAGGTTTTAGTTTTGCTCTTAAATGTGATTGAGAAAATTAACAGAGCAGGATCCCTTACAATAAAACTCAGAACACACTAAGTCGAAAACCAGAGTGGAGGGCAAAAAAGAAAAGCAATGTCCAGGTTAAAAAGGAATAAGCAAGAGTGTAGGAAACCCATGTATTTACATATTCAATAAAAGACACAAGAGAAGGCAGGGGCCTGTCCCCACAGACTTCTTACACTAGAAATCCTCTTATCTGGGGAACTGAAATCCTTTCTTCTGAGACAGTGCAGTAGCAGTGTGCCAGGTTTGCCATGAGTGCAAATTCTCTTCCTGCCTTCTGAACTACCTTCTCAGAGTAAGTCAAGGCAAGGGAAATCAAGAGAATGGTTAGCAATAGAAAAAGTCAGCCTGCAAAATTATAATGAAACCATATTCTGTGATATTATCCTTGATCTTAGCCAAAAAGCCAAGAAGCAATCACCATATTCTGTAGTAATAGAATTATAATAGCTAACTTTTTTGAGAGAGATTTTGCTCTAGGGCATGTGTGCTCACTGGAGAGACAGAGACAGAGAAATAGAAAATGAGAAACCACCACCTCCCCCTGGGAAAGATGGCCACATCACAATCCCCTCTCCTCCATTCTTCTCTCAGGATTTGGGCATGCACGCACATGAGCCCAGTGTGAGTTTTTCCATGGTTGACTACGTGGAAGTCCAGCAATGTAACCATTACACCATCTGCTGTTCCTGATAATAGCTAATCTTTAAGTGTTAAGTGTGTGTGTATTTCAAAAGTTTCTGGGAAGATGGAGTTAAACGATGAGTTTATGTTGGTACAGAAACATTTTAATCCATATATAATTTTCTCTTTTTTTAAAAGATATTTTTGCCCTAGGGCATGTGCACTCACTGGGCAGAGACAGAAACAGTGAGAGGGAAAGTAAAAAAATCACTCCCCAGAGTAGATAGCCATATCACAATCCCTTCTCCTCCATTCTCCTCCCAGGATCTTAGGCACACATGCACACATGCCTG